TACCCAATAGGAAAAACAGACATAAATGTTTCAATCTCACAAGGTCTTTCAAACTAAAAAACAAACAAGAGGCCCATGGGCAACATCTCTCACCTGAGCACTGAGGCTAGATAAAAGTATACATTGGTTTATTATTGAAAAAGAAAAACCCAAAAGTAGTCCCATGAACAATCATGGATTTTCTATCTTTGAGAAGAAGTTTTTTAAAGATTTTTCCTCTATATTTCTATGTAAAACTTTGGTCGGCCATTTTGGACCCCCCTCCCCGATCATAAATTGAAAAACTTAATCTACACTACCTGAGGATGTTCCAAAAAAAATTATAATTATGCCGTGGTTATTCTTGAGAAGAAGATTTTTAAAGAATTTTCCTATATATTTCTATGAAAAACTTTGTGGTTTTTCCCCCCCTCCCCCGGGGGTCATGATTTGAAAAAATTTGAATTACACTACCTGAGGATGCTTCCATATAAATATGAATTATGGCTTTGTCATTCTTGAGAAGATTTTTAAAGAATTTTCCTATATATTTCTATGTAAAACTTTGGTCAGACATTTTGGCCCCGCCCTACCTGGGGGGGTCATGATTTAAACAAATTTGAATCTAAACTACCTGAGCATGCTTCCATATAAATATGATGAATTATGGTTTTGTCATTCTTAAAAATTTTTTTAAAGAATTTTCCCAAATTTTTTCTATTTTAAACTTTGGTCGGCCATTTTGGCCCCGCCCTACCCCCGGGGGTAATGATTTGAACAAACTTGAATCTACACTTCCTGAGGATGCTTCCATATAAATATGATGAATTATGGTGTGGTTATTTTTAGAAGAAGATTTTTAAAGATTTTTCCTATATATTCCTATGTAAAACTTGGGTCGGCCATTTTGGCCCCACCCTAGCCCCGGGGGTCATGATGTGAACAAACTTGAATCTACACTACCTGAGGATGATTCCCCATAAGTTTCATCTTTCCTGGCACAGTGGTTTTGAGAAGAAGTTTTTTAAAAACATGCCACCAAATTTTATTAATTGCCAATTATCTCCCCTTGAATGACGGTGGGCCCTTCATTTGAAAAACTTAATCCCCTTTACCCAAGAATGCTTTGTGGCAAGTTTGGTTGAAATTGGCCCATCGGTTCGAGAAGAAGGCGAAAATGTGAAAAGTTTACACACAGACAGACAGACGGACGGACAGACGGACGCCGGACAAAATGTGATCAAAAAACTCACGACCTTTGGCTCAGGTGAGCTAAAAAACTGTTTGTAAAGTCTGACCATCTATGTAACCAGCCAACCAAATCATGGAAATTTAAAAAAAAGTTTCGTACAAATGATTCCTGCAGATCACACGCCAAATGCACCCATCTTCTTACCAATCCCGACAAAATTCACCAAAGTCCGACTCGTTCCGTGGAAGTCGAATTTAAAAGAACGTTAACTCTAAAAATTGCAAAATGATAAATTTTGGGTTATTCCCCTTGATGATGTAAAAATATTATGTAACTTCAAGGCCATTTGCGGGGTATTTTTATCTCAACATGATAAACACAATCGGTATCATTAAAAAAATTAAATCTTCTTTCTTTATGAAAGAAACAAATGAATACACAGAACTCTTAAGTTGAAAGAGAGTTCATTGCCAAAAGTTGTCCGAAGAAGGTATTGTCCACTGTTGAACTAACTTAAATGACTCTGATAAATCAGGAAAAATATGGCATGAAGGTTTACCATTATGCAAATATGACGTCATAAATGTGAAGCATTTCTCTATTTTCAACAGAAAAAGTCTCAAAATGGCACATTTCAAGGGAAATTTTTCCCTTTTAGAAAACAATGTCCACAGCCGTCCCCCACGTTAATTTTTTGATATTTTGTGCAAAATTCAATAATAAATCACATATCTCAAGTTTTTGGGGGCGACCCTGTGGACAATGTTTTCTAAAAAAAATTCCATTGAAAATTGGTGTCTTCTGCAACTTTTTAAAAAACACGGGAAAATGCACATGTTTATGATGTCATAATTACTTTTAACGTAGGTCGCGGGTTTAAGGGTTTTTAAAAAGTTTTCGAAAACATCCATAAAAATTACCTATATGATTTCTCTCCCTTTTTATTTCCACTCTAAAATTTTATAAAATTCGTCTGCACCTTTTTTGTGTAATTGAATTCCAAAGATGTCATTGTTGTAGTTACATTTTCAACTGTATTCTATTGAATTATATAGAAAAAAACGTTTTTTTGGGCTTGTTTTCAGGCAAGGTTTTGATTTAAAAAATATCATTAACTTTTAAATCGTGCAGACGAATTTGTTTACCCTTTTTATTTAAAAATAAATTGATTTGAAATAAATTTATGTAAAAAAATTAATTGTGTTCGGGTTCTTTTTTTTAATTTAATTGTAGATAATTACTTTTATATTGACAAATGTCATTTAAAAAACAACTAAAAAATATCGCGACGTCATGTTTGGCGTCGTGAATATATCCGGTATACAGACCCAAAAAAAAAAAATACTTTTTAAAGAAAAGGGAAATTCACGTATATCTGCTTTCAAGTGACCAGTATCATAATAATTCAATAAAAAAACTTTTAAAACTTTTTTCTCTTTCAGCTTATTTCCTCTAATATTAGTGAAAATTCACGTAAAAGGCGTAAACCAACAGTCAGTCCTTTAGTTTTATATATATATTTTTTCTTTATGTGTTTATTTCTTACCGTTTCCGTTTTTTTTTTATTCATGCGCGGATTCTCGCCGGAATTTGTAAAATAAAAGTGACCTTGTATTCCCCTCTGGAAAAGGCAGACTTCCCATCCCCTTTGAAATCGCAGATCTGTGATCTAAGTTTGTTTGAAAAGTCAAGGACTACTACCACCCCCAACCCCAACCCCAAATATGTTTTTACGCTTTGTTTGGGGCCCAAAAAGGCAGATTTTATTTTGTTCTTAGATTTCAATTTATACATATAGCATTAATTGTACTGAATAATATGGAAAGCAACGCAGCAAATAAAATATATAATGTAACTAAAAACAACGCATGCCGTTAGTTATACGGCTTTGATATGACCCCCCCCCCCCCCTTTCTGTTTTTTCTGGGGGTTTTCCTATTTTAATTTTTAAAACCCATTGCATGTTATTAATAATGTAATGTAACCCTTTTATCTCTTTAGCTGTTTTTAAATACATGTTTTTCGTTTTCGACTGATACGTAAGAAGAGACAGCTTGCAATTTTTTTTATTCTCGACGTCTGCCTCACTTTATCTTCACTTGCATGATCACTATTAATACGTAATAATATGGAAATGCAGACATTGATAAATTTGAAAAACCCTCTTCTTTCCTTTTTTGATTTCCATTTATATAATTCTTTATGTGCCTCCGATTAGTAAATATTTCGATTAAATCAACATGCACATATAGGGTGGAGATGAAATTTTAAAAAAAATGGAAAACTTTTAACCCCCCCCCCCCCCCCCCTTTGGAAGTAAGAAATGGAAAGAAGGGAGGGGGGCATATCCTGCGTGTCTTTGGGTTTTTTACAAGAGGTCAATGCCGCTCAAAAATGTATATTTCAGTAGTATTACCCCGGTAGTGCCTTAGCAGTTTTTAATTTGTGATCAACCTGTATATAGATTCGTCCGAGATTTGCAATACCGTTTCATAAATATTGAGTTCGACTTTCCATCGGTGAGCAAAGTGTTGACGCTGTTTAAAGAAAACAAAGACATGCATGCCATAAATGGTTGTGTAGATAAATTATCGTATAGACAATGGTAATAAACAGTTTGTTAGTGCATTTCCACTGAAAGTGTACACTAAAATCACAACCCGACGTTACTTATTTTTCTTTTAAAAAAAAAAATATAACCCTTACCTTAAAATAAAAGTTTATTATTTGGTAAGGTTTATATTTTTTTATTAAAAGAAAAATAAGTAAGTAGGTGTGTATAAAATGATGCTTTTCAGGAGGGGTTATCGAGTGTAATTCGGAGTTAGATAATCTGTTTTATAATTATACACATTTAATACGTATTTAATATTTATAAATTATACATGATACAAGGGTTAAAATTTATTTCGAAACAAGTACAAATGCTCTCAGAATAGACCCGAGAAGATGCGATTAATAACAAATAATGAAACGCTTTCTAACACTTTCAGTGTTGGTCATTGGAATCAAAATAAGCCTTCATTATTTTTTATAACTTCACCATGTTCTATAAATATTGTTACACTAAACTACCTATTTTTACAAAATTATAGCTAAAATGCACTAGTAGTATAAGCCTCCCCGCTAGCGCGGGAAAATTCTGATTGGCTAGAGAAAATCACGTGATTTGATTGGTTGAGGGGAAAGGGGGTCAACTAGTGCAGTCCTAACCCTAACTAACCCTAGCCCCCTAACCCTAACCCTAGCCCCTTAACCCTAACTAACCCTAACCCTAACCCCCTAACCCTAACCCTAACCCTAACCCCTAACTAACCCCAGCCCCAACCCCAATGTGTAGTAAGAATAAAATTTATGGAATAATAAAAATATTCAACATATTATCACAGATTATAGGACACATACATCTTTATGGGGGGAGGGGTCTTATTGAGACCTATTAAATTCAAAATAGGACAAACACAAACAAAATGTATTTACAGTTCCAGGAAAGTAAAAAAATACACCAAAGCTAGCTTCTGAATATCTGTGTCATTTTTAGGGGGTTGTAGAAATTAAAAATAAAGGATCCAATGTATAATAACCAGACATAACAACTGTCTTCAATTTGAATATGATAAATAAACAGAAACCGGGATATTACATAATAATATTTAAATAAACACCCTTGGACATTGTACATTTGATTAATATTTTAATTCTTTCCTAAGAATTTACACCTAATTTTTATAAAGTCTATAAATTATCACACAATTTTGAAGTTATTGCATTAAATGATTCATATCAGTAATCTCAGGAACTAACTTTTACTCAGGAGTAAATGATCCAAAAATCTATAGAAAATCTCCTATTCATTTTTTACTAATGATGTGAAGTTTGTATGTTACAAATTATTTTCAAATGTAGTCATCTCAATAATCTCATGCTTTGAACATGACAAATTATCCTATAAAACTATGTGTATTACTATAACCTGATATGTGTAGTAAGCATATGAAGTGTATGAGATGATAAATGATATTCAAGATATTATTGCATCACAGATTATTGGGCACCTACATCTTGATGTGGGATATTAAGGGACCTTTATCATATTTCAATTTCTAAATTTCATTATAGGCCACAATACACACATATACACAAATAAAATATATTTACATTTCCAGGAAAGTAATAATTACATCAAATCTAGCATCTGAATATCTATGTAATTTCTATGGGGTTATAGAAATAAGATGAAAAAATAAAAGGTTTAAATGTATACATACTTCTCATACATAACAACTGTCTTCAATATGAGTTGGTAAAAATAAAAGTCAGCTATAGATACTTTGAAGTTGGTGAGAATAAATTCATGCTTTCAGAAAATCATGTTCTCAATACTTGATTTGACTAGATCTCAGTTTGATAAATGATTACACTTTATTCATAGTCAGTGTCTGACAGTAAAAGATACAATCCTGGGTCCTTTCTTTGTCATCCTGTAAACCACAGTCTATGATCGTACTGGTTAAATTAGTTGGAAATTATATTTATCTCTGTTCTTCTTAAATCCACCTCCTGTTTGATTTTCTTGTTTCAGTGTTCCAAGAGAGGATATTCTGTTAGTCTTTGCATGATCTGATAGTCTTTCACCATTCTAAGAGTAGATATAGATCATTTCCATAAGCCCTCACTAGAGAATCCTGGAAAATAATAAAAAATAATATCTTAGTTAAATTTTTTTTCAATGTAATATAAGCTTGATGGAATTCTAAATATAGACAAAAAAAAAAAGTATAAAATAGTAAACATTTGTATAAACAGACCTCAGTTGTGAACTGGCTTCATTATGGGGAACAGCTTCAGCAAAGAAATGAGTAAAAACTCTAGATTAGAGGAAAGTGAATGGTTACTTAAACAGGAGGGAGGAAAAGATATCATACCACCTCCCTTGATGGTAGAACATCCTGTAGAATTTATACCACCTCCCTTGATGGAAGAAGAAGCCAATGAGGAATATAACCTTTTATTACCCATAGAGGGTGAGGGTAACCTGGATTACCCTGTAAGACCCTTGACTAGAGAAGAAGCCAAGTTTTTAGATGATAAGAAAAAAGAGATGTCAGAAAAAAGATTGACAAAGACAGTGGATTTTAAAAACCAACAGAGGAGAAGAGTCTACAAAATAATGAAAGAAGCCCAATCTCAACTCTTGGAGGATATTAAGACTCATTATCAAAACAAACAGAAAGAAAATACAGGCAATGGTTATATTGCTAACTTTAAAACAGACAGATTTAGAATAGCCAAAAATTGGATATTTGATTTAACTGGCTGCAGACAGGAAGATGTAGATCAAATCATTAGAAGTGATTATCAATACTTGATCTTACAAAAAGAAAGGCATCCAGAAACTGGAAAACTTCATCATGTGAGAGGATTCATTCAAATGAAATACAGCTGTCATGAGAGATACATGTACAAAAAGATTCATGGGTTAACTTGTTTTGATATGTCTCACAGCACCCCAGAATTGGAAAGAACCTTTTATAGACAAGGTGACTATGAAGAATATGGGGTTCTTAAATCTGAAGTGAGAAACGGAGAATTAGTTCCAAGAGATAGTAGATTTACCTGAATTTTTTAAAAAAATCAAAAAAATATTGAAAAACAATTTGTACACACTTATGACAAAAATAGGTGTACATTATTCATCAACATGAAGTGTATGTGTTATTGTTTTGATGAAAAAATAAATAAATGTTAAAAAATGCGTGTTTGGATGTGAATTTATTTTTTAAAAAAGAGGGAAATTATTATTATTATTATTAAAAGTTAAAAATGTTAAAAAAAAAAAAAAAAAAAAAAAAAAAAAAAAAGTTTTCACTTTCATTTGTTGTGCCTTAGACCGTTTAAATTGACCTTATGGTTAAGATTGTGATACACACTCTGATAATCATCTATGATTTCTCTATCATGTTTACCTCAAAAGATTGAATCAGGGTATTTGTGTTCAAAGAGCTGAAAAAATTATACAGACAGATCTAAGATTTTGGAAGCATACATATTAATGGGTTTAAATGAGATATAACACTAGATTATTAAAAAGAAAGAACAAAAACTCATAGAAATGATATTGAAAGTACCTTTTATGAATAAAGTGTCATGCTCCAAGGTATATTTTTTATAAACAGGAGAAGGTTTACAACAGTCCCATGCACTCATAAGAAGATCTTGGGTAGTAGAAACACCAGGGAATTTTAATTCCACACAATCAGATTATCTTACATCAGTTATAAGGTTACAGTCTTTATACATAGTTAAGAGGGTCATTAAGATTTCTTTTCTGGTCATCCTGATGTGCTACATTATAGTATTCTTTCCCTGTGATATAATGTTAATATTAAATGGGAAATTCAGAATTCATCAGCAATTGGAGTCAAAACTTGCTATCTTTACCAACTATGATATTAAGGAAGCTGGGGGGGGGGGGGGGGTTACAAATTAGCCATATTTAACTTATTCTATAGATATGCTATCTTCAGCTGTTAATTATCATTTGGCAAAGAAAACTTTCATACATTTCAGTTTCAAAATTGGATCATGCATTTTTGTATATATATTGAAATGGAGCTCTTCAAAAAAAAAATAAAATAATAAATAAATATATATAACAATTGTATCTCATTGAAACTTTACCTTCAAGTTTGTGTGTTTCTATGTTGGTTGACTATAACTGTGTATTTCCAAAGGAAGAGCAGACAGTCTGAACTTCATAGAGAATGGATTATAGATGGTTAGGAACAATACATATCTTCCAGGTTTAGGACTGTATAGAAAATAAAACCATTTTGTTAATATGACAGAGTACTGTGTGAAACAATGCATGTTTAAAAATTGAACAAACATGTACAATGCCAAAAAAGTTCATGAAAATGTTTGTTTTTAATCTCAAAACAAATTGTTTTTAACATTAACTCCAGATGAGAAAGTTCATCATGTTATCTTTAGATAATAAAAAAAGCACAATTACTATATTGATATCACAAATAAAATGATTATCAAATTAATTATTTGGACACTAAAAGATTTTTTATTAACAGCAGATTCAATTTTGGTTTAATATCTGTCAGTACTGCATACAGAAAAATACATCTTTTTAGCATCATCACAGTACAACATGTAGTCCTTCATTTTTTGAAAAGCTCATTACTAAGAAACAAAAGTGAAAATGAAAATATATGTATGCCATATATCCCACATATTTAGAATCAAAACAAAAAGTAAATAACTTAGAATTAAATCTTTTGTAAATTCCTCCTTTTCTCTTATTAGATTCCTAATTAATATCTCTTTGATCACCATTTAGTAAGTCTGAATTCCATGGCCATGGGTAACATACATAATGAATTATGAAATTAAATCATATAATTTATACAAAAGGACTTATTAATATTCTGAAGATCCCTTAATCATGTGTTAATATATTTTAAGTTAAATAAGGGTGTGCTTATATGAATGTAAGTTAGAGACAACAGATCACATAAGTATTACACAGTAATTAAATTAAACCATATAATCATGCTTAAATGCAAAGATGACCTTCATAGGAAATGTAAACAATTAAATAAAAACAAGACAAACTTACCAGAGATATCGAAATATATGCCCCAATAAGTCTATCCATTAAATAATCCAGTGAAATAACATCTCAGCTGATCCTGAAAAAAATCATACAATTCAGTGATACACAATTAACCTCATTTTACAATGTAAGTAAAGCAATGATTTACAGACAAAAGGGACAGAAATGTAAAAGATACCATGTATTTTACCAAAATTTAGCGAACATTTTTCTGATTGAAATTCAATCATAGAATGACCCATCATAGAATTATTAAATACACTCTGAGTTACATGCAGGTTATACATGTACAAGTGTAAATCACATGAAATGACGATAAATACAGTATTGATTTTTCAAAACAGAACTTTACATAATTATGATTAAATGCAAAGATGACCTTCATAAATGTAAACAAAACAAAGACAAACTTACCAGAATTAGCCAATTATATGCCCAATTAAATAATCCAGTGAAACAACATCTTAGCTGATCCTGAAAAAAAAAAGCATACAATATTCAGTGATACTCAATTTAACCTCATTTTACAAAGGAAGTAAAGCAACAATTGACAGACAAACAGGACAGAAAAACATGTTTAAATGTAATGCAAAATAATATCTCTTATATATGGATACCTATACTCTAATCAATCATATTAAATGTCATTCGTAAAATGTATTTTTTAAGACAGATTTATTTAGCATCGACTTTTTTTTAAATGATAACATGAATAGCACGCCATACTTTAATAACATGTCAAAACATTCTCTCAAATTACACAGAAATGGGCTATTTAGCATAGCTGACATTAAACATATAGGTGAGCGATAACATAATCACAATCATAAACAATGTGAAACAACTTTAAACGACCTACACTGTGGATTACAAGCCTTTTTCACTGGGGTAAAATCTTGCCGAAATTCGCTATGGCTGCCCGAAACCCCGAACCCGACTGTATAAAAGATGAAGTCATACAATAACATAACACTGATGTAGTATTACATGATTTTTTTTTTTATTTTATTTCTTAAAAACTATAAGGGGAGTTTACCAAAAAAAAAAATTAATAAGAAAAAAAAAAATTAAAGTTATTTTAAAAAAGTTAAAAGTTAAAAAATTTATAAGTTAATTTTTTTTAAAAAAAGTTTAAAAAATTTAAAAAGAAATTCTAAGTTTTTCAAAAAAGTGACCTGGTGTTATAACTTGACAGACATAACACACACATGTTTTTTTGTATTGTGTGTTATTTGTTATTGTCTTTCAGTAAAAAATTCAGTTCAAACTGGTAAGGCTGGCTAGACTAGGCTGTCTAGACTGTAAATGAAAAAGTGTGACGTCATAATCACATTGTGTTTATACAGTGGATGACGTCACAATGCATAGGTAAGTTTTTGCACACGGCACTTTACAGAGGATGCAAACAGGTATATATAAGAAAACACAGGTAAAAGGTATATTTCTTTTGCACACGACCCTTATGTTTTTTTTTGCACACGGCACTTTATAGGTGATGGAAACAGGTATAAAAACGCAGGTAAAACGTATTTTTTGCACACGACCCTAAAAAAATCCATGCTATATATAAACCAACGCTGGACATTGAGGATCATTCTTTGTGAGTACTTGAAAGTGAACACAAGTAAAAAAGTTTCAGTGGTCAAGTCAGAGGTATGGAACCAAGGTATCGCTGGTTTATTGAGAATACTGACAAGAGTGGACCCTGGATGGAAACCCTAGAAGAAGCCACGCAGGATTACCATAAAACCCATTCAGAGGAATCTAATCAATCAGTATGGACTTGGGAGGAATACTTTAAAGAACTGTGGGGCTTGGATAAGATGATTCCTGAACAATCTAAAGAAAAAGTTGAAGAAACTAAACAAAAAGTATGGTTGCAAAAAAGAGTGAAATTTCCTGAAAATTATGTGGTGATAAGGAAGCACTGCTCTTTTGAGGGAATGAAGGGTTATCACGACTACAAATGGGAGATCAGAGGTGAGGATGATGATGGTTTTCGGATTGAAACTATATACTTCCCCGAGTTAGAATCGTGTATTGAACATTTACTTCTGTACAAGAAAGAAGGAAAAGCCTTAAAAAAAACGCATCTAGGTACTTATACACAGTATCTCCATGGAATAATTCCTTATTTTCCAAATGAAAAAGGTATCCCTTGGAGGACACGAGACTATGATGATGATGATGATGATAATTTGGACTTTATTTTAGATTAAAAGACAGCCTGTAAATTGTTGTATTTTTCATTCTGAATAAAAATTGAATAAAAATCAAAATCTGTGTTCTTGTTTTCAATAAAACCAGTTTGAACTGGTTAGGCTAGACTTACTAGATTGTGAAGCGTGACGTCATAATCACATTCTTGCAATGTTTTGCACACGGCCCTCAAGTATTTACCTGTGTCCATAAACAAAACGTAGTACCAACGTACCAATGTAAACACAGTGTAAATAACTCCGTATTTAGGGGATAGGTTAGGGGATAGGGTTAGAGGGCTAAGGGGGTTAGGGTTAGGGGTTAGGGTTAGTTGGGGGTTAGGGTTAGTTAGGGTTAGGGTTAGGGGGTTAGGGTTAGTTAGGGGGTTAGGGTTAGGGTTAGTTAGGGCTAAGGGGGGATAGGGATAGTTAGGGATAGTTAGGGTTAGTTAGGGCTAGGGGGTTAGGGTTAGGGGTTAGGGTTAGGGGTTAGGGTTAGGGGGTTAGGGTTAGGGTTAGGGCTAGGGTTAGGGGGTTAGGGTTAGGGCTAGCACTGTACTCAGTTGACCCACTTATCCCCTCAGCCTCAGAACTGATCACATGATTTCTCTCAGCCAATCAGAATCTTCCGGGCTATCGGGAATGCTTATACTACTGATATATTTTACATGGTTTTCGAGTTTAGCGGGCTATGTTGTTGACAGTGAATAAAAATTCCGTCTTATAAGAAGTAAGTTGAATGTAAAAATAATTTATTTTGCCTTCAATCGCCCGTATTTAAAAATATATTTGCACCATTACGGAGATGCGATGGAATTGTAGCCCTCTCCAGAAAACATCAGATAAAAAAAATCGGAGAGGACTACATTATTGCAGCTAACCATAGGGCAGTAACACAGTTACCCGTCCGGACAACAAGATTACTTGTGTTGCATTGTGGGTCCAGGTTTCTACGATATATTTAAATTTATATCAATGTTACAGTACAATTTTTTTTTCTTCTGACTCATCTCATTCAGATTATGTATATAGCTCTACATTAGCTGAAAAGCTGGAGTTTTTTTTTTTTTTGGGGGGGGGGGGGGACAAATTTTGAATACCTAAGATGTTGCTGAAAACCTTCTAGTGAAATTTTGAACAATAAATCATTCTACTCTCAAAAATATTATTCGTACTTATTAAAATTCAAAATTGCCGGTCGGCGACCGTGTCTGCCTTTGTTATTATCGGCCGCATAGGTGATCGATCTATTGGCTGTTGTATTTGAAAGTGCAGGGGAGAAATGAGATATTATTTTTTCTTTGTTCCATTTAAAACATCCTTTAATGATAAAATATAATTAGGATTATGAATAAAAGATTTTTAAAATGCCTTAAAATTTTGTTTGACCTGTTTTAATTTAGTCATTGATAAAGTTATAATTTTTATATAAACGGTATAAAAATATCCTAGCATGGCAACTTGTATACACGCAATCAATAAAGTTACTGCGTATACAATTAATGAATAGAAATTGAACTTTGAATTTTGTATTGAATATGCTACAGTTGAATAACACATCAATACTTTTTTTCAATATTTCTCATTAATTGTGATACCAATCCCTATTCGTGCAGTATCTTGATATCAGCATATAAGAAAAATGCCCGAAGACTTTACTTCTTTTTTTCATTATATTGCTTTAATATCAATTTTGGGTATAAGGATATTGCGTTAAATTTTGTCTTTTTGATAAAAAAAAAACATTCTTATCCTTCATATCTGACTCTCACGCAATTATATCTAATTTATTTGTACCGAAAATTAAAAACGTTTGACCATTATTTTTCTCTTGTAATATTTAAAACTGATTTGTCAATATTTCTGTTTAAAATAAAAATGTTTAATTAACTACTAGTATACTCTTCTACTTAGAAATAAATATATATTAAAATTCGTGAGTATTTTTCTTTGACTCATTTTGGCGGATTTACTTTAAAATGCTTCAGTTTTTTTTCTTCACTATGTAAAACATGCTGACAAGAATGAAATAGCCACAACACCCAAGCGTTCAGTCTAAAGGAATTTTCTGCATCAAAATATTTTAATACAGTTAAAGACTATGTAGAAAACTTAGTTAAACATTTATTTTAATGGAATCATACATGTACTACTAATAGATTTGATCCAATTTGATTTTTAGAAACTCGCTGAAACTTTTCAATACACGTGCACATTAAATGTTTTTTCGGTATTTGTATTAACATTTTCGAATTACACCGCAGAAATAAGATTTGTGACATAATTGGTGTTTGCCAGTACTTATTGATATGCACCATATTGTTCAGAGATAAGATCCGCCAAATTTCCGTACATACGAAAATCAATATCAACTGTACTAATTAACACCTATTATGATAACTCCTACAATAAAGTAGCCGACAGAGGGTCGGGGATTTCCAGTTGTATATTTTTAGACGACTTGGTACAGTTACATAACTTCCTCAGTGGCGCTGTATTTCGTAAGGTTAGCGCTGTATCACTCCTCGAAATTGAGTTTGTCATTTTGAAATCGACATAATAAATATGATCACCTTTAAAAAGAACCATATATATTACACCACGGAGATAATTAAGGTCAACAATAGGAGCCCATGCAAAGGCATTATAGAACTCCATTTGTTTACATAATTATATCATTAATCAAAGAGGGCGCGTTAGGGGCGCGTTGAAAGATCTTAGTGCTAGATGGAATTTAAGTACAGAAACGAATTTCGAATAAGAATTTTGCTAGCCTAGCAGCCACGTAAAGAATTTGTATTATAAATATTTATGCTAAGTGATAATTTACAATAGAATTAACAATATACATGTTGACGAGCTGTGTTTTCAAAACGATTGAGTATGTAGCATTAAACTACGCGTAAGTTTACTGGCAACTATGGTACTGAACGCAGCCATATATACGACCGGTAGAGGTCGTTGATAAAAAGATCATGCAAATCATCATGGAATCTGAAGACACCCTAGTAATCGCTTGCGCATGCGCGCTTAGCGCTTAAAAATGCCATTTTTCGAACTTTAAGACATGTTGCAATGGTAACTATAAAGCATAGCAACCAATATTTGCCTGATTTCTGTTTAGGGTATCAATGACTTTTATCATAGAGAGTTTGGAGAAATTCTGGGACTATGCGTGCCACAGCTCCTATATAAATTTCAAATCATTACAGAGAATGGCTCTTAATTGCTTAAAACTGATTTGTCAAATATTTCGGTATGGCACGCCGATTGGTTCAAAATTATTTTCTGCACAACGATCACGATTTTATACACGAGCTAGAAGAAAAATATACACGAGTAAAATAAAAATGCAAGTATCGGTAAAAATTGCACATAGTTTAAAAGATTTTTACACAAACATAACGAAAAATACACGAATCCGAATTTTTTTTACACGATTAAAGGGTTTAATATGCACAAACAAAAATCGAAAATTGCACGAGCAGAGGAAACTAAAAATTACACAGACAATTTTACTGCGCACACAGCTGCGCATATCATTACTATGCACATAGAATATTCATAGTGTTCTTGGTTTTCTGTACTCTTTATCTCTTCATGTATATGCTAGCTGAATGTTATCGAGAATGGAAGTTGCTTTTTTACAATCCGATTTCGAAAGAAGTGTTTCCATCTGATCTATGCGAGAGTATTTAAAAGCTTTTTGAAAATACTATGTTTTTCTTATATTGACCGAGATCAAGGATTTATTATATGATGCCGAACAAAAATTGTAACAAGA